CATGTCCTGGCGATTGAGGAGAACGCCGCAGAATCCGCGGGTTGAAGCATCGCCCCGAAACGGAAAGCTGCGTCCGACGCCGAAAACAGGGTGGTCCAAAATGATCTGGCTCAAACATCGCTTGAACTGTCAAACAAAGTCCTGTTACTGGCAGGGTCCACTTACGCGGGTCCCTCATCCACCTTCGTCCTGAAAACACGACGATCTTCGCCCGGCCGACCGGTTCGAGGGTTTGGCCTGCGAGAGACAGCAAAGCAGCAGGGGCGAAACCAGGGGCCAAAGCCTGCGTTCGATGCATGGCGAAACAGGACGAGATCTCAAAGTGAGCATCTCAAAGAGGTTGGTCGGAGCTCATGTCTTCTTGCATCAGTGAATCAGTGTCAACAGAACCTCACGAGGCAACGGTCCATGCTTGAGTGCGTTCTTTGGAGATTGGCGATATAAACATGATCATCCCCACTTGCCTGAACCCGGTGAAAATAAGCATATCGACATATTGCAAACAATATATTTAGGGGCATCAGAAAGCCTTATTAAAGAGGAGAGGTGTCTATTTGCACTGCAGCTCTAGACCTGCCACACGTCCAACCGAACGCCTCCTTCGCAAGGGTCGGCCCGACATGAGCCTCCGCGGAGGGACCCAGCAGTCGCTGCAGCCAAGCAGGAATTCCGAGGTGCCAGGCCCAACCCAAATTCTCCAAACAGATCCAACAAATTCCGGCATCTTGGTTTCACCCACTGGTTTGGAAGATCACCATCCACACAGATGACAACAAGACTCCCTCCCGAAGTGGAGGACTCTCCTTGTGGAGCTGTCGCCTTCCTCCTACAAGCTGCGTAGTGCTGCTTTCCTCTGGCAGCTGTCGCCTTCCTCCGCGCTTGGCAGCCCCAAGGTCTCCGAGAATGGAGTGCACTCCCGCGACCCTCACCCCGCGACCCTCGTTCATGTCGCAAGTGGACATCGGAAGAAAAGAAAGAAGTTAAGCTACTAAGTGCATTACTAGTAACAAGCTACTAGTGACAAGTGCATCGCTACTAGGAACAAGCTACTAGTATGCTTCCTTGTTGCTAGTAGCAAACGAACCGCAGTTACCCGCCTGGTGAAGTCAGTGGCCCCCAAAAGCCTTCGAGCCGCAGCCGTACTGCTGCCGTGTGGCACAGTGGACTCCCTCTCGAGCCAAAATGGCCCGAAACACGATGCGATCTCCTTGATCTCCGTACGTGTGAAAAGTGGAGTCCTCACGCACCGGTCATTCTCACCGGGTGGATCTGTATGTTCATGTTCAGGATGTTCAGGATGTTCTGCTTGGCGAACGCCTGATGAACATCACTTCACGGAATGGGTCATCAAGGACAATAGAATGACATAGTCTGACACTGGGGAGAAGACTGGGAATCACTGGACAAATGCGGGCTATGGCTCGATGGCTCGATGGCTCCCCCCAAATGAACAAAACAAACTATACAGTGTCTTCGGCAACCAACCGTGTCCTTGATGGTGTTTCGTATTGCCGACATCCATGACATCCAAGACCTGGACTTCTTGGCGAGCTTCGCACCCAGGGCCAGGCCCAAAAGAACACTCACCCACGAATCCCCACACCAACTGCAAGTGTTTTCTTGCCATCTTCTGTTCCCCGTATTGGGTGACGGAAACCAACCCTCTGTAGGCTCGAACAATTTCATCAGCCACGAGAGAAACCTTCTCATGATTCTTCAGGAGTTCTCACTCCACACACATGATATTCTTTTCCTGCAGCATCACTGCCAGTGCCGGAGTCGCCTCGCAACCTCCGCACGGGTCGTCCAGAGAGAGAGGGCGGCTCGTCGCGCGGTCGTCGCTCACGACACCCGTCTCTCCCTCCGGGCCGCGCGCCGGAGAGAGGGGGTCGATTGGTGGTGCCAGTGCTTCGGCACATAAGACGTCGCCCCTGAGAGGTTTGTACTAGCAAACATTGTTACTACTAGTAAGGCACTTGTTACTAGAAGCGATGCACTTGTTACTAGTAGCTTCTTGTTTCTACTAGCTTCTTGTTAGGACCCATGACGTTCACACATTGAACTGTTTGAAAGCTTCACGGCTTGGCGTGTTTTCCAGTGTTTTCCAGTGTGACGTGTATTTCCGGGTGTAAGACGTGCAATGCGTAAGGCCATGTGCAGATAGATCTTGGAAGTTCTTCTTCGACCTTGTGCAGTGTGGCTTTGAGCCCTCGGCGGGGGCTAAGGTGGTCATGTGAGAAGTCTAGAACAAGTTCCCAGCTTCTGCCCGCCCATTGTGATTGTTTTAAAATGTTCCAAACAACCCTTGGTGCTTTGGGAGACGCTAGTAGCGTCCTTGCTCCTAGTAAACCCTTGCGGCTTGGGGGGCGCCTCAATCCCAACAAATTTGCGATCCCAAACAAACTGTTTAGAGGGTCCGGCCCCTGCCCTGGGGTCTATGAGGGTCTGGGATTGATCAACACCGTTGGCATCCGGTGTCTTGTATGAACAAACGGACAAGGTATTGACACTCAAGTCAAAAATGAACAAGCACACATATACAACCCATCAAGCACAACAAATGAACACTCCGTGGTTTCCGGTAGGTGTCCTCGGAAAATACCACCCATCCAACAGCACATGATTGAAAGCCTATGGACACATTCAGCGTCACTCGGTTCGGCCTATCATTGGATACTGACTTGCCCAGATTGGTGAAGCCCGTGGGCTTTCTTCTGCTTCAGTGTCAGTTGGTCTTGCAGCAGATCAAGCATGATCAGGCGATCAGAATCTGAATTCAGGGGCGATCTTCAAACGAAACCATCCATCTGACTCGTTAGACCGGGACCTGTCAGACCGACTGTGTGACTCATCTGATTGGCTGATGTAGTTTCATAGGTCCTGCATCCTGCGTTCAAAACCATCTTGCTAGCACTCAAAACCTCACGACAATACGGGAAACTATTAGACTTAGAAACTGAGCTTCTCAACGTAAGTGACATTGAACGACTTGTGTGATCGGGAAAAGCGTCATATTCAACCTTATCGCTACAGCAAAAAGTATGCCCTATAGTGCTCCCAAGTAGCCTCTGAGAAGGTATCCTGTGCGGGGCCTGTCTGGGACAATGCCGGGCTTAAGGCCTCTCTCCAAATTTAACGTGCTTAACACGAAAACCACAAGACCCCCTCAGACAGTTCTGAACAGCAGAGTACAGTTGAAGCGACAATGCTCGAAGCAGCATACTTGGACGTGCTGGACGTACGTCTCGCTTTGGCCTTTCCGAGTTCGTACGAAGCGGTGCATCGACATCTTCTCGGCAAATCCCAAGACTTTCTGAGAAGCGCGACTCTTGGTACAGCACTATAGGGATGCTTACTCCTTGGGGAAGATGTCCGACGACATTCACAGAGAAGATGGCCTAATACCTTAAGTCCTTAGCCGCTCGTCTTCGACGTTCGTCTTGGATGCACACTCTGGACATGACATGACCCACACCTATGAATTACATCAACTTCCAACAATGAAGTGGGAGCAAACCCCCCTAAACATCCCATCCACCATGTACCTGAGCCACATGCGGGCGTCACCGATAGCTGATAGCTGAATTCAGCGCCAGGTCTCCGACTTGGAATGGTCAGGTCTTGCGGTCAGCTGGACTGCACTCCCTTTTGGGAAGAATCGACCTACGCGGACGCAGTGTGCCAGCTATGCGTGGTGGAATTCCTGGCTGATATGCAGAATGCGTGGCATCGGCTTTCCTATGTTTTCCTTAGTTCCTCCAATCCGTCCCTTCAGGTCGCATGAGATAGTTCCTCCAAATCCAATCCGTGCAGTGCTGACAGGCTGACAGAGATCAGTCGTTCTCCTGACAGTTAGCTGACAGTAGCTGAGTAGCTGCTACAGTACTGGCCTAAAGACATCCGAATGCATGACACTGCGCTCCTTCACAGCTGGATGTTCTGCTCCCTTCAGAGTTTGGGGAAGGCAGCCATCCGCTGCTCAGCCATTATGCCCATGACACCCATGACTCATGACACCCATTGTTCATGTCTAAAAATTAACACGGTCTTGGGATATGAACTTGTCAGGTGAGCCAGCTTGGGTGAGCCCAAGGACCTGACAATCACGAGCATCACACCTTTAACCTGAAAATGGCACCTCATGTTCAAGGGGGCAAGGGGGGGCGCCATGCCTCGAACGCCTCGAAGTGGTCTTTTTTCCTTTTGAGCGAAGCTCGAAGCTCGCCTCATCCAATCTGGCACACGGATGCGTCCTGAAAACAGTTGGTGCTTCTGAATTCTCGTGGGCTCGTGGCTCACCCCTGCTGAAAGAACTCAACAGACGTCCGAACCGAGGCTCGCACGCGAATCGGTTCCTCGTTGGTCTGAACACCAACACCAAAAAACTATGGCAGAAGAAGGCATGACTGTGCCAATGACAAAACCAGGGAGAGGCCCAACAGCCGTAGACTCAGCCACTAACTCAGATCAGTCGCAGAATTTCAGACGCATGACTTGGCCAAGGATTGCTGGGACCTGAGATGATGATTCTAGATGTCCCCTATCCTCCTCATGATGAGCGCGTTGGAGTCAAATCCTGACGTTCTCTTCTGCCTCGATATCCAGCATAAGGAGTGTCCCACCGACTTCTCAAAGGCTCTACAGAAACATCTTTCCGCCTTCTGGGGTTTCTTGAAACATGGAGACTCTCCGTCTATAGCAGACCTATCGCTATTAGATTGGAGGCCATCGCTACTAGGTTGGAGGCCATCGCTAGTAGGTTGGAGGCCATTTCTATTAGATTCCGTTGCTATTAGGTAAGGAATAGACTTTCTTGAATAATCCCTGCTTCGCCAATCCGGTTTTGGGGCTGTGACGACTCGCCTGACCCAAAGTTCAAGAGCGTCGGTTCTGGACGAAGTTTCACGTCGTCAGGAGATGTTCTTCATTTCATCATCTCCAAAGCGAGAATCAACATCCCAAGTTCCCCATTTTTCGAAAGACCTTTATCTATATCAAACGCCCAGCTAGGTCACCTAAAGGGACACTGGACCGTTGAGCTCAAACGCACGCACGCGCATCAATTCTGCGAACATGTGCTGGTACGTGACGATGTCACGGGTCACGAGCACGGCTCCGATCTGAGAGCTGTGTCTACCCGACTTCTCTCAATGAGCTCGGTGAAACGTGCTCTGGCACGGCTCCGGCCTGTGAACACTCCTGGGACCGCTGCACGGTAGTGAGAGCTTGGTGAGCCCAGTAGTGAGAGCCCGGAGCACATTCCGTTTGACTACTTCATCTACTTCCAATGATCAGTAGAGGTCTTCAACCCAGGGGGGTTGTCCAAATACCTTTTCCCAGAAACCGGATTGCCGCCGGATTCTTCATTTTGGTTCTCTTAGGTTGGAGGCCCTGCTAGCAGGTTGGAGGCCACCACTACTAGTTTGGAGACCATCGCTACTAGGTTGGAGGCCATCGCTACTAGCTTGGAGGCAATTTCTATTGGATTCCGTTGCTCTTAGGTCAGGTCAGGTTGGAGGCATTTTTACATGCCTCTGCGCGGTGTATCTGGTTGGAGACCACCTGCTATCAATCAAACACATCGTGCCAAATTCTTTGGACAACTCCCACGTGATTTGGCCTTGTCCTGCTGTGAAAACAACCCAACCTTGATGCTGTTTGGGTTTAGGATAGTTTAGGTCTTTCAACAAAAATCAACTCCAAAGACCCCAAAAAGACAATACTGGAATCATCCTGTAGCGGTCACCATTCTGGACCAAATCCTTAACCACCCAAGGGGGGAGCAAAAAGGCCATCTACTAGGTGCCGCTCATGCTGTGAGGTTCGCAGTGGAAGAACATGGCGTGAAGAACGAGACCCGAGTGCCTTCGTTCGTGGCCCGTTCGTCCCAAAATCAACATTCCAGCATCGCATCCTGTCTGGGTGTCCTGGCTGGACTACCCTACACTGGAATCTCCATTGGACACCCATTGGATGCTCCTGGTTGACTTAACAATGACTTCATAGACTATCAAACTCAGCACCTGCGGTGCTGACCCGGTGCCTAGTGGGAGCAAAGAGCAGTACAGTAGTACCTTCGTTTTTTTTGCACAGTGTCTTGGAACTGCAGATTTCATCTGTTGCTTACCAACGAATTTGCTCAGCAGCCTCCAACTGGCATCCAACCAAGATCTGTGATGTTTGGTTTCACAAGGTTCTACTGTGAATTACCGTGAGATCTTAAGACAAAAATGCGTCCATCATTTCCTTGCTGGTTGGGGAAACCAAGGGTACCCACAACAAACTCCGCGACCAAACATCAACTAATGCTGCCAAACCCTCCGGAATGTGTGCACCAAATGTTTCGATGATTTGGCTGCAGGTTGCAGAGTCAAAGTAGACAGCACAATTCAAAGCCGTTCAACACTTTAGACGGGGCTGATGGTTTCTGCCTCTTGCACCCAAATTTGACACTGGTTCTTGACGAGTTGTCTTTACGATGTGATTGTCAGCCAACACATCATGTATTCATGTATGTTAAACGAAAGCAGAACAACCCCCCGAAGCAGCCAACTATTCATGTATGTTGGAGTGGTTCTGGCGCACCCCCGCAAGCAGCCAACGGTTCGGTGTTTCTTTCTCACTAGCAATGCAACCCTGCCAGTCCTCCTCTCTGGGTGCCCAGCATTCACCTCGAAGCATCTCATTGAGCAGTGGGAAAGCGTTTCTGGGAACAAGACTCTTCCCAGTGGATTACCACTAATTATAGAAGGAACCGGGGGCCCTTCGTTCGGTCGCCCTGGTTTTAGCCGTTGCCCGGAACCACGACGGGACTCCCAGCGACATCGTGGGTTGCCTGGATGCCCTGGGTTTGATATCTCGTTGTAACAAGGGTGGCGTCACGAAATCACTCTGAATGAAATGGGTTGCCCACACCGCCAGCTTGGGGGGGCCCTGGCGGCCCTGGCGGCCCTGGCTGCTTCTCAGGTCAAACCCTCCAGATCCAAATCATCAGAACCGGAACAACACATCCCATCACCAAACACACGCCAGCAGCCATCGGTACATCAGGAGATCCGCATTTGCTCGTTCTTGTTCAATCATTTCGTTTCATCAATCAAGCACCTCGAAAAAAGATTCGCTGTTGAGGCGTTTGTGTGTATCCACTTTGAACCTCGAAAGGCGTTTGTTTCGTTTCAAAACAGGTGGACACACCCAACGGTGTTCCTTCGGATTCTTCGGTGTCCCACGTCGCTGCGGCGCTCCACAAGCGTCACTTTCCGGGACGAACATGGCAGCCAGATAGGCAAAGAACTTGCCACAAACACCAACTGGTCAGGCAACCAAAGAACTCCAACACAAGATTCATTGGTAGTTGCAGAATTGCTAAATTCACTGTACATCTCTTCCATTGATCTGGTTTGGCTTTCACCAAAGCCGGCAGCCCCGTTCGAACTCCGGCCTATCTTTGGTTGCTTTGGCTGGACCTTCATTTTCGCCTGAGAACGCGTGAGGTTTTGGCTGACCAAAGCATCAAAACGAATAACTTGAAGAGTCATACAGGTCGTAGACCCAAATCTTCAACCCCTGCGCCAAACAAAATCCGCTACATAGAAAGAATGAATGCACCTAAACGAGCTTTCATACCGACACAAACGGGTGGCGGCAAGGTTGGGGGCAGCAAAACGGGAATGTCGATAGTGCTCTCAGAGTAGATGAGAGTCTTGATCCCAAGTGTCAAAGCACCAGAGGAGAGATCAGTTTGCTTTCTAAATTGCTCTCAACTTCTTTGAACTACTCTGAAATGCTCTGGATCTCTTGAAGGCCATGTTGGTTTGGACTATGTATGAGTATGGCAGCATCAAATGACTAAGAGAGTAAAGAGTCATTGCATCAGTTCCCACCACAACTTTCTATGACTTTCCACAGAATGATTGAAAGGGTCACCGACAGGTGGCGGCAAACAAAGCTCACTTATCAAATTCTAACTAATTGTTTTTGTTCTTTTTCTATTCTACTCTCAGAATAGAGACTCCTCGTTTTGCTGCCCGACCCCGTGCCGCCACCCCTTTGTGATCCTATGAAGCTTGGATCCTGCGAAGCGCCGTCACCCGGGAAGATGCAAGTTATAAAAACTATTACTTACTATAGTTTTCTTTAAAGCATCCACAGCATTATCCAAAATCAAGCGCGTAGATCACGTGGAGGCCATCGCTATTAGAGTGGAGGCCATCGCTAGTAGATTCAGCCCAGCCTTACACACCATACAAGTCGGGTGGATTGGATGAGATAGAGACTCAGCACATCGAGGCATCTAGCAGCGTGCGGGCCGGTTCATACCAGTACCCTCCTTCCCATCTCCCAGTGAAAAGGCATCGCCCCGGGCCGGAAGACCAGTTTCACTGAGTGGGGGGTGTAAGTTGTCTCAAACCCAAGATCCTATGTCCTATTTCACTTTTAAGAGTCAATCAAACCGAGATTGCCAAGCCTTTGCTGCCATCCTGATATAATGGGATGTAACAGGGAACACATCAACTTCTTCCATCACTACATGCTTCTGACTTTCAAGCCTAAGCTGTCGGTGGTCCGAGACCGTCAGCTAACTACATCACCACTTGAGAGGAGGGAGACACGAAAGGTAGGACAGCGGGAAGAGAAGAGAACGCGAGAGGCAGGAAACAAATGCAATGTTCGACATGGTGATTTATCCCCTCGGAGGCGACCTTTCGTAAATATATGTTCATATGCACTCTAAATGTTCAAACATATGCTCTCGAAATGTTCAAAAATATTCTTAGGAAAACAAACTTGCCCCATGGCTCAGATCATCGGTGAGCATTGAATCGGAGCATCATAGGATTTGAACTATCCTGAAAACATAAGAGGCTCACGAAGACGTTCCCCAGGAGAGAATTGACGTGCTTCACAAAACAAACTCTAGGTATTTATCCCCACGGGGAACACCTTTCGTGATTAGAATTTCATACGCACTCTTTTTGAATGTTCAAGACGGTTTCAACTATCCTGAAATCATGAGAGGCTCACGAAGACGTTCTCCAGGAGAGAATTGAATTTAGAGGGGGGGGGGGGCTGTTTTGAAAAATCAATTCCAAGGGGGCAGGGGGGGGGGGCGGTGTGGGAAATCAATTGGGGGGGGGGGGGTTGAATTGAATGATCAATTATTAGACCCGGACGCGCCAACACTTGCTTCGCAAGACAAACTCAAGGTATCCCCTAAAGGGCTACCTTTCGTGATCTCTCGACACATGGCAATGGCTGTTTTATATATCTATTAATACTGTATTTTTGTCCGGAAGCTACTAGGAACAAAGGCGCTACGAACGGAGCAAGAAGCTACTAGGGGCGCTCCTGGCATTACTACCAGTAACAAGAAGCTACTAGACTAAGAAACGCCATGTTCATTATTTCAGGTTCTCTTTTTCTTCCTTTTTCGATCGCACCAACCGAATCACCCGCGACGGGCTCCACCTTGGCGGCTCCTCTTCGGACCCTGCGCGGCACGGGTGCGGCGCGGGTGCGAACCCTGCCGTCTTAGACGTGCGGGGAAGACCTGCAATACAAAACAAGATCAGAGACGTACTTATATATAGTCATGTGATATGATATTGTGTAGGAGATGTAGGAGTGTGTAGGATTTGAGGACCAGGAACCAGTACCAACTGGTTAGTTGTTTGTGGGTGATGAGCTAGATCAGGAAACCAAACATACTTGAGCCGCCTAGTTACTAGTTGTTGGTCCATACCTGCTTCTGGTCTCCTCAACAGGCTACCTGCAAAGCACACAGTTGATTCCGGTGGGTCTATCAAATAGCAACGACATGCAACGAACCTTCAATGCTGGGACTGCGATGAACCTCCTCAGGTGGATTCACCCTACAGTATGTTGTAATTACATTGTATAACTTCTCCATTTCATGGAACAACTTGTCCCTTTTCTGCTCTGAAGGCCACGGAAAGACACGATGACCGTGGAACAGTACCGAAACCATCTGAAGCAGAGGACTTCTGCTGCAAACACGGCAAACACTTGGCGTTCTGTGGCATCTCTCCCAAACTACTTGACTCACGCCACTTCACATGCGGCCGGCCTGGCCATGGTCAGCTCGGTGTTGGGAGTCTCAATGAGGCAGCTCGCGGGCAAGCGGCTCTGCCTGGCAAGACCGCTTGCCCGCGGGCAGAGGACAAAGATCGGAGAATCCCCAAAAACCTCAAGTCCTCGGTGTTTTTGGGCGCAACAACTTGCAAAAACCATAGACACGACCGGAGACCGGAGAGAAATCTCATCGCTCCGACACCCCACAGGACGATCTTGGGGAATTCTTCGATCGATCTTCCGCTTGGTGGCGAAAACACATAGTACAACACTACGAAATACACAGCTGCTCGATGTCGACGCTGATGAAGCCAAGCGATCACCACATCAAGTGACGAAAAAACCTTCAAAAGGGCTCTGTAACTTTGAATCGAATGGCTCAACAAACTTAGTCCAGTAGGGAGGCTGGACATAACGGTCAGCGCCCGGCTTTGGAACGTGTCAATGCAAAAGGGATCTCAACCAGGGCATCCTCGAGCCTCAACCCATCCCAGCAACTCGAACTGGCTCCCGGTCCACTGTAGCATTACGTTCCAATGTTCATCACCCTGACCCTCTCAGTCTCAATGTGTTAGATTTGAGTTGTTCTCAATCCACAGTCCGCCTCCATCGGCAGGTGTTAAAACCACCGGGTGATTCCTCATAACAATAAACCCCAGACACTCCATGTATGCCATATGTGCCTACATTGACCCCCAAAACCACCCCAACTGATCGGTAAATATACCTGTCCCATGGAGTGTCTGGGATAAACCAGATGCCAAAAATTAAACGGATGCCACCCAGGTCTCAGACAAAGAACACCTGAGGACAAGACCCTGCCGCACGACGTCTCCCGCGTTCACTTCGCTCAACGCGTTCGGCGCCTCCGTCTCGGCTCGCCTCCCGTCTCCTCCTCGGTCACCAGTGACCAGGGGTGCGAACGACGTGAAGGCACCCGGGTGTTCCGGAGAACAGGGAACAACAAACAAAACAAGCAAAGCACTTGATGATGTTATGTTGATAGATGTTTGTTCTTTGATGTATATGTTTTAAGCTTAAACATATGCATTGTTTTTGTTCTTGTTTTAATGGGATTCCTTTTTTTCTGACCCACAACCCTTTTTTCTGACCCACATCCTTTTTTTCTGACCCACAACCCTTCTTTTCTGACCCACAACCCTTCTTTTC